TCTACCTGTTCAGGTACTCTGTTCACTACCTGTTCAGGTACTCTGTATTCTACCTGTTCAGGTACTCTGTTCAGGTACTCTGTTCTCTACCTGTTCAGGTACTCTGTTCAGGTACTCTGTTCACTACCTGTTCAGGTACTCTGTACTCTACCTGTTCAGGTACTCTGTTCACTACCTGTTCAGGTACTCTGTTCTCTACCTGTTCAGGTACTCTGTTCACTACCTGTTCAGGTACTCTGTTCTCTACCTGTTCACTCTGTACAAAGAGCAATTCAGCACCAATGCAGACAATAACAAAATAAAAACACAATGAAATATAATTTAAAGCTATGATAACAGTAACAGTCTTAAAACAGCAGGAAATATTTTTTTGTAATAATTGTAAAAGCATAATTACTAAAGTTTAATTGTCTACAGCTTCAGTTTGGGTTCCAAATGTGAATATTTGCATTTTTAAATGTTACTTTTGACTCTTATAGTCACATGTTTCACTTTGATCAGATTATTGAATGATCCTCTATCGTCCACTGAGAGGCAGTAGTGAACCTGATCTCTGCAGTGAACACTGAACACTGTCCTCAGTCTGGAGACGTGGACCTGTTGAAAACAGTTCAAACTAAAATAATTAAAATACCCCAAAACATATTAATAATGTGTTTCTCACCAATTCACTTTTATTGGACTTTTTCTTCAGGCTTTTTTTCCCCACACAAAAAATCTCATGATTCTTTTCTTCTATTTCCTTTGTGTGTGTGTGCGTGTGTGTGTGTGCGTGTACGTGTGCGTGTGCGTGTGTGTGTTTGATGATGATGCCGCCTCCCGACGTCCAGGGGCTTGCTGAGGAGCCTTAGAAGTGCGCGTGCTGCACGAGACTGAACCGCTGGACGGAGACACGCAGAGAAAAGTCACGCGGAGAGGTGAGCTTCAATCTGTGTGCGTGTGTGTGTGTGTGTGTGTGTGTGTGTGTGTGTGTGTGTGTGTGTGTGTGCGTGCGTGTGTGTGTGTGTGTGTGTGTGTGTGTGTGTGTGTGTGTGTGTGTGTGTGTGTGTGTGTGTGTGTGTGTGTGACAACAGGAAACACACCGCGGATCCTCTCCTCCCGATCAGACCGAGAAGTCTTCAGAAGAAGCTCTGTGTGTCTCGGGAGAACTTTACTCTCTCTCCGCTCCGCTTGTTTCGTTTTCACGGGTCGGTTTTGTCGTTTATCAGCCCGGAGCTGGAGCTCTGTCCACGGGCTTGGTGCGGCGCCGCGGACCGGTCCACTAGAGCCGGCTGGAGGCTGGTGAAGACAGTCTGAACTTCTAGTGTCGCGGTGCCATGTGAGGAATAAAAGCACGTTACAGCAACACTCGGTAAGAAAGAAAGTCATGTTGTAGTGGAGGAAGTTTCTCCTCCGGGATGTTTCTGGGAGGACACTTCATCAGTATAAGTATTATTATTATGATGATTATCATTATTATTCATATTAATATTATGAAATGTCATCCCCTTACACCAGTAGTGTTTCAGTGTAGCGGTCATATCGACATTTAAAAGGAGTTTGAGGAGAATTCAACCATTCAGGGCTGGATTTAACATTTTTGGGGCTCTATGAGAACCCAGACACGGGTTCTCATAGAGCCCCTGTGCCTCCAGACATGTCTCCTGTATGTGCAGAGTTTTACATTATTTGAGTAACAGCAGTGACTTTAAGACAAAACAATGCAGAAACCTGTACAGTCTCAATAACATGGTACACATGTAATAGAATATAATTAAAAGTTACAATAACAGTAATAGTTGTGAAACAGCAGGGAATAAACTGTAGATGTAAAGTAGATTTTTAAGCAAAAATACCAAAGATTTAGAGGCTGCAGCTTCAGTTTTGGTCCTAAATGTGAATATTTGCATTTTAAAACGTGAAAGACACTTTTATTAATATTATTCTGTTGCTCTGAGCGCCTCTGTTGAGCTCTAAGCCCGTCAGACTGTGTGTGTGTGTATGTGAGATATTTAACATGTTAGTAACAGTGACGTTCCTTTATTTTGAAGTTGGTCTTTGAGCTGCTGAATATAAAATGTCTGAAATCTGACAGAATGAATTATGTTAAATGGAACAAATATGATGACAGAAGAAATGAAAGTCGTCAGGAGAGCAAGTCAGTTATGAGCAGCTCCTGTCTGAAGTTTACTTATGTACACATACAACTATCACTGGAGTCCTTTACATGTGAAGTCAAGTTAAATATGTGAAGATGCTCAGACTTCTAAAGCGGATACATCTGCATCTATCCTGCATGTACATCAGAGATCATCACAACGACTTCATATGTTTCACGTCTGTGCGTTAATATCTGAGTTCTGACGAACGCAGCATCTCATGAAGAAGCTGAATCCTGTAACGGTGACGTCATGCACGTATGCTGAGCATGTGGTGCGTGAGTCGCTCTCTGCTTAGAACCAAACCACAGACCTCAGATCAGCTTACTCAACTCACTTAGCTCGTACGTATTTGTTTCTTTAAGTTGGTGGAACACTTTGAACGTTGTTGACGCAGCGCTGCGTCCTCACGTCTCAGACGTCCAAACACGACTCGTATCTTTTTACAGCTTCATGCATCAGCTGTTAGCCGGGGGGGGGTTCTGTGTTTACGGTTGTATAATCTAGAAACTGCGGATGTGTTGGGACCACAGAAGAAGACGGATGGTTGGAGCTTCTCCTCTTAATGCACTTCATGCTCTTAAAAGCCTCCAGGAACAAAGTCTTCTCTGCTGAACACTCTGCTGGCTTTGCATTGGTTTTAAATCACATCGTTGCAACACGGTACGCTTTGTAGAACTTCTCCTCTTCTGGGTTCTGGGTTTAGTTTGCTTGAGACAATCCTAAAGATCGGTTTATATAAACACAAGTCCACTGATGTGAGACGTCGTCTTCTCGATAGCAGATCGCGTCACACAAGGCTGCTTGATGTTGAAGAACTGCCATATTTATTGCTATATTAAATAAAAAACAGGAATATTCATCGTAAGCCTTAAAAGCCACTCCCTCAAAGCGTTCACATCTTGAAGTCTAAGTGAGGTTTAAGTCCACGGCCTCAAAGGCTTTAAGGCTGGCTGGTTCCAGTCTTTATGCTAAGCTAAGTTAGCCAGCTGAAGGTGGTAGCTTTATAGTTCGCATACAGAGAGTAATAATAATAATTAATGTGAGCGCCAGGAAATAAATATTTTAATATTCTTTTCTTTTCAACAGCTTCATAATGTATCCGACCACTAAATGTGATTATATGTATTTTAGCTTTTGTTGTTTGCGATTCACTTATTTATTTATACCGTCACTGTCTGACTAAGTGCACTGTTTTTGTTTTCTACTCATCGTCCACTTTGCTGCTGTGGGACTAATAAAGTATAATCTCATAATATATAATCTCATAACTTTAGTTACAAATAAAAATAAATGTTTCTAAAATTGAGTTAATTTCCAGTCAAAAAAAAGACAAAACATCGGGCGTCCATCCAGCTCCTTTCTGTTAGGACCATGAAGGGGAGCTCCCCCCCCCACAGAGACATGCAGCGTCCTGCCAAGGACAGCAGGGCTCTGCCACACGGCCCCGTTATCTCTGTGTGCAGACTCTCATGCAGAACCTGGAGAGAAGTACCTGACGAGTCTGTGAGCACAGAGAGGGAGCAGCTGAGGACGGCTGCTTTCTCTTCGTATTGTTGTGTTTTGGGGGTAAAAAGTTCATTGTTTTCTTATTTCTGGAGCTTCACACTGAGTCTATAAATACTCGGGAGGTTTGTCGAGTTGAGTGGAGATTTGCTGTCATCCTGGAAAAGATCAAGCTTTAAAGTCTACAGACGTTTTCATTGTTTTATGTAATGATCTCGTTCCTCAAACGTCTCACGTCTCGTTCGGCCTAAAATCCCCCTTTTTTTCTGAGTGTGTTCTAAATTTAAACCTGCTGCAGTTTCTTGTTTCTTGTTTCTTGTTTCTTTCTTTTTTTCCTGAAGCGACGCATTAAATCACCGTCAGCGTGACTCAGACTTCAGATATTCGTGAGACGTTGTTCTCCGGCCTCAAAGTGTTTATCAAAGCAGCTCTATATTCACACTTTCTTTAATGTAGAAAAGCAGTCGATTGATCTGCTGCTTGTTTTCTGGATTAATCGATTTGTTCTCTCATCTTTTAAAATGTCAGAAGAAAAGTGAAGAATGCTCCAAAAAGTCTGAATCAATTTATAATCATTTTAAACATTTAAAAAGCTGGAAAAAGAGAATAATTTGACTTTTTGCTTCTTTTTTTACTTGACTGAGTCGATTGACGAACCAATTAACAGACTAATACATTTAAAACTGCAAAGAATGTCTTTATAGGATCAGTTTACTGTTTGTTCTGTTCTTTTCATGGCATGTGTTGATAATAAGAATGTAGATTATGTTTTGATGTCACTTACGTTAGTTCATCTTCCTTCGTTGTTCCCTCAGTTTAGTTTGAAGGTATCGACAGCAGAGTGCAGGAAACATTCTTTTAGTAGTTTATCCGTCAGAAATACAACAGAAGAAGAAGAGAAACTCTAAATATTACCTTCCCATTCAGCTAAACTACATTCTGAACTCCGTTTAGAGGGACTACTTGGTTATGTTGAGTAAAAGATCACGATTTGACTTAAAGTCTGTTTGGTGCGTAACTTTTAACGTCGACGTTGAATTATAGTCTCAGACGGGAGTCGAACCTGAGTCTCCTGAGTGAAAGTCCTGAGTTTGTTTTTAAACAAAACATCCTCAAGAACAAACATAATCTTTGATAAAATACATTTCCTTCTAAACGTAATTAACAATTCAGTTTTCGTTGTGAGGTGACGTCATTTTTAGGAGACCTGCTGTTTATTGAGACTCGTTGGCTACTTGTTGATAGCATTGTTAGCTTGTTTTGAATCCCGGAAGTACATTTATTTACATGTTTATTTATTTATTTCTATTTTAGAAATGATAGTACTATAGTACTCTTTTATGTACTATAGTTTACAGAAAGGCGATTACAGAATGTTGATGAATTAAATGGCTATTGCTGAACAAATATTTCCATAAATAGCTTAAAATACGAGGTTTGTTTTGTTTGATTCAAGAGGAAATCGATCTTTAAAGCAAAAAATATCCCAAAAATGTGAAGTTCCAGCCTCTCAGACGTGAGGATTCTGTTTTTCCTACTTTTACGTCAAAGTTAACTGAATATTTTTGGGTTTTTTTGGGCTTTTGGTCGAACAAAACAAGACTTTTATGACTCTGACTCCGTTAAAACAGACCAAATAATCTGTCATTTGTTGCTGCCTTTAGTTTTATATGATGAAAATCTTCATAACTTTAATAAGAGCTGCCGCCTCCTGGTCTTCGTCTTTCTCTTCGCAGGGAGCTGCCAAGAAAACCTGCCGTGTGTGTGTGTGTGTGTGTGTGTGTGTGTGTGTGTGTGTGTGTGTGAACATCCAGTTAACTCGGTGACCCGAGCTCTTAAGCTCCGCTTCAGAACACGGGTCACATGGCGCTCATACACACACAGGTCGGCCTTTAATCTGGTTCTTCTTCTGAGGAGCAGCAGATGTGTTGACTGCTAATAAGAGAACTTCCTCAGTGTTAAAAGGCTGAAGAGCTTTATTGTGACGGGTCAGGGTCAGAGGTAAAGGGTCAGTTATGTACCGTCGCTTCAACATGTAGATTCATGCACACATGATGTTTGAGCAGAATTCTGGCTCAGATTTGGACAGTTATGAAAAGTGAATGACTTCATTTGGAGATTAGAATGAGAAGCTGAGTAGATGAACTGTGATGGACGTCCACTGAAGGGAGGACCCCAATATGTCCAATTGGACCACAGACTGTAAATAAGAAGTGGACGTTCTCGTGGTGACGTCACTGCCGTGTGAAGCCTCGACTTCTGCATTTTGGCCGCCGCCATCTTGGTTTTATTTGCAACCAGAAGTGACAATAGAGGGTGGAGCAACCGAACCATAAGTTACTAAATGAACATCATGCTGTACTGAAGAAGACTTGAAACTAGAGATTGAGACCATAAACTCATGTTTACAATGTTTACTGAGGTAATAAATCAAGAGAGAAGTAGAGTCATTTTCTCATAGACTTCTATACAACCAGAGGAGTCGCCCCCTGGTGGACACTAGAGAGAATGCAGCTTTAACACATGATAGTCTAACAGTCTGTGGCTCCACCCACAGAGACGTTTTCTCTGTCGAGCGGTAAAAACAAAACTCCGGCCTTCAAATGTGGTTTTCTGAAAGAAAAAAAAACTCCAGATGTTTTTTTTTGTGACGGAGCCGAAATCATGACTCTTATTATTTGACTGGTGGTTTCACTTCCTCCCTCCTGAGAGTACAGTACCCCCCCACGTGTGTTTGACTGGGATTGATGCATTTAACATTAAAGTTTATGTTTTGTTTGTGTTTCTTTTTTAAAGGAGTTTTGGGATTGAAAAGTGTAAAAACTGTGAGGACTTGGAAGTCGAACAAAAGAACCAGAGAAGAAGAAGAAGACAACGTTTGTGAAGAAGAAGAAGAAGAAGAAGAAGAAGAAGAAGGACAAACAACAAATAAAAAGCCAAGATGGGGAGGAAAAAGATTCAGATAGCTCGGATTATGGACGAACGAAACCGACATGTAAGTAATCTGGTCTGTTGATCTCGTCTGAACACATTTATGCTCAAAGAAAAACAAAATCAGTGAAATGAACTATGAGACACTGAATTATTACATTTAGTACGAATTTTACCGAAATGGTAATTTGGCCCACGGCGGATTTCAAATCGCAGGCGGCTCAATATTTCTTAAGGTAAGTGTCCAAATCTAATTTAAAATGAAATACTGTGGAGCTGCAGAGACGTCCTGGTCTACACATCAATAAGAAAACATCACTTTATAATCAGTTTAATATCTTTTAATGAGAATGAGAATAATGATGTAGATAGTTTGATTTGTTCCTCACGTAGCTCATGAAGTTAGTCTTTAAGTTAAGATGCAGCCAGAGAGACTCAACCTTCTTTTCTTTTAACCTTTTAACTCTAATATCTTTATTTCCTGTAAAGACGTTTGAACAAAGTGTCCAAATGACATAAATCCATAAACACAAACACAACAGGACTCGCTGTACTTCCTCAAACTGGTGATGTCATGTGATCCTCACAAGAGGAGACGACGAACTGAGTAATGAACACACACGTCTTATCTGGGGGGGGGGGGGGTCCTCTCTTCCCTTTTTTACAGGAAAGGGAGGCACATATGCTTCCTCACCCCCCCCCCCCCCCGACCTCGTCACTGGACTGTATGACGCTGGACGTGTGTATATTTATGTGTAGTTTTGTCTTCAAAGGACTTTGTTTGTAGGTTTTACCTCATTTTTACTACATCTTTATAGCTCAGGTTATAATAATATTATTCTTTTGCAAGTTACTTGCAGACATATTGGAACAATATCACTAAAAATAGGTCCAACAAACCAACGAGCGATCACAGAATCAGTTTGGAATCAAACTTTTAAAGATAATTAAACTTCTTTAACAGAGAAAATCAAAAGTGAAAAGTAAGATTTACTTGTAAACATCCACCACGGACCGACTTCCTGCTTCAACTTTGACCTACAACTTATGAGCAATGAGCAATTATTATTACCAACAATCATGTTTCAGTTTGACCTTTCAAAATAAAGGAACCAACGCATAAATACAGCAGCAGCCCGTTGGCTTCCATTCTGTTCCAGTCAAGTATTGAAAATCAATTAGTGAGCTCTTGAAGCTTCCATGAGACGTGTAATCCATCACGCTGAACATCAAGTGTGCATTTACCTTCATTATTCATGTGCGGTGATGCAGTTTGAGTGCAGATTGATTTTTAAACTGTCTGCACTGCGTCGCTTCATGTTTGTACTGAAACAAACGAACGAATGGCTGGAAGAAAACAAAACACACCCGAGTTCACAGAAAGTAGTCCTGAGAGTCCACAGCCATGCCAGCAGCTCTGTAACACTGTATTTAGGCTAAGCTACATGCTAACATGCTGATGTTTAGCAAGTGTAATGTTCACTATTTTTACATCATAGTTCAGCAGGTTAGCATGCTAACATTAGCTACATACCAGTAAACACAAAGAACAGTATTGGAATAAACAATATGCTGATGATGGCGCTCTAAAAGTCAGAGAATATGAGTAATATGCATTACATGAGTATATGATATGAGGATATTAGTCAAAGTTATAACAGTTCATCCTGAGGGGAACATGAACATCTGTCCCACATTTCATGACAGTAAGTTCTATAACTGTCGAAGTAGACTCTTAAAAACCATAAATGTGGTCAGAGGAAAAGTCCAGAGGATCCCAGAAGTCAGTAGACTTCATCCTCTGGGTAACATAAACATCTGTCCCACATTTCATGGAAATACATTCAATAATTGTTTACATTTAAGTCAGTAGACTTTATCCTCTGGTGACCATGAATGTCAAAATTTCATGTCAATCCTGTAACAATCCATTCAATAGTTGTTGAGATATTTCCGTCGGAGCCGCACACGTCGACTTCATATTGGATATAACAGGAAAAGTCAGAGGATTACCAACTACAGTAGGGTTCATCCTCTGAGGAGCATGAATGTCAATCATCCAACAGTTGCTGCGTAATTTGGATGAAACATACTTTATAATTACATTATTAAACATACGATTTTAATGTTATGCTCCAGAATGTCCCTTTTGATCCGATCTAAATCCACAAATAAAATAAAATGTCTTGATTTCCTCCGTTCTTTGTCTCCAGGTGACGTTCACCAAGCGTAAGTTCGGCCTGATGAAGAAAGCCTACGAGCTGAGCGTGCTGTGCGACTGTGAGATCGCCCTCATCATCTTCAACAGCACCAACAAGCTGTTCCAGTACGCCAGCACCGACATGGACAAAGTACTGCTGAAGTACACCGAGTACAACGAGCCGCACGAGAGCCGGACCAACTCCGACATCGTGGACGTGAGTAACACACACACACACACGCACACGTACACGTACACACACACACACACATATACACACACACACACACACACACACACACTCACACACGCGTAATGTTTTTAAATGCAAAATGGCCAAAATATTCTGGTTCCAGCTTCTTAAATATGAACATTGCTGTTTTTCCATGTTGTTTTGTTGTTGTTGTTGTACTTTATAAATACTAGTCTACTAATTGATTTAATCAATCAACAGAATTATTCAGATTATTGATTTGTGGTTTAAGTCATTTTGCAAGCTAAAATTTCAAACATTCATCGGTTCCAGCTTCTCTGTTATGAGAATGTTCTTGTGACAATAAACTGAATATCTTTTGACTGTTGGACATTTGAAGATATAACATTGTTTATATGATGATATGGTAAAGTATAATGGAACTTTTTCACAATTTTGGGACATTTGTATGGACAAAACCATTCATTATTAATATAAAATGTAGATATTTTCTGGTTTTCTTCATGTTCTTTGAGTGTAAACTGAATATATTTCGGTTTGAGAGTGTTGGTTGGATACAATAAGACTTTAAAGACATCACGCGTTGTTTATGTAATGATTATAATGGACATTTTCTACTTTTTTCAACCTTTTTTTAAAGCCAAAACAGTTAAATATTAATGTTGAATGTAGATATTTGCTGGTTTTCTTCATGTAGTTTGATTATAGACTGAATATCTTTGGCTTTTAAACCAGACGTCAGCTTGGACTCTTTGAAATTGTGATTCTTTTTTAGACGTTTCATAAAGAAAGCAGCGATTAGCCGCAGAGCTGACTGTCTGTGTGTGACCCTGGTTCTGACTTATGTAACGTTAGAGGGACCCAGCGGCAGGTGAAGGTGTCTCTGGTCGCATGTAAACTCCACCTGTAAACGTCTGCTAAGCTCAGCGAGTCACGAGGTCGAGTTTAAGCCGTCAAAAGTCACCGAGCCGGCTGGCAGAAACGAGTTTAAACGTTAAAAATATGTTTCTGTATTTGAGATATTTTGTCTAATAATTAACAATCAACAACACAAACACACAAGCAGAGAATCTAACTTCGTTATGAAGAACATGGATGTGTTTCCGTGGCTCACCTGTGCACACGGACACACCTGAGTCGCCCCCCCCCCCCCCAGACTCTGATCCTCGGTAACCTCCAGTAATCCCGTTTAGCTCGTTACTTTAATCCGTCTTCATCTCTGCAGCTCATCCGCAGTGTGAACCGGCCGGCTTATTTACTGCTGCTCTCCAGCTGCTTTCTGTGTAATAATAATAATTACGGAGCCGACGGAGATTTCAAGATTAAAGTCGTAAATTTCCGAGAAAAATTAGAATATTCTCTGAGATTAAGGTGTTAAATTTTAAATAAAAAAATTCACAAATGTGCAAGAAAAAAAATTGTATATGCTCTGAAATTAAATATTTACAAGAAAATATTCACACATTTATACGAGGAAAAAAAACTCCGGAAAGGAGCTGCTACAGGAAGAGGACCTTGAGTTTCTGGTTTGTTCCGCGCTGTGTGTGTGTGTGTGTGTGTGTGCATGTGTGTGTGTGTTTTAGTGTGTGTGAGTGTACGTATCTTAGTGTGTGTGTGTGTGTGTGTGTGTGTGTGTGAGTGGATGTGTCTTAAAAAAAAAGTGAGTGTGTGTTTCTGTGTGTGTGTGTGTCTGTGTGTGTGAGTGTGTGTGTCTGTGTGTGTGTGTGAGTGTGTGTGAGAGTGATCACAGCGTGATTCATTCAGCTGGTGACATTTGAGACTCGGCCAACACTCTTAATCGGTCCTCTTCTCTGATTGGCTGACGGGGGATCCTCTGGAGTCATGTGTGACCTCTCACATGTCTCCACTCGACGCCGTGTCGAGGTCACTTTCGCTGCTCCGAAGGCGTGAGTCTAGATTTTAAAGGACGGACATGATGAAGCATGGAGCTTGTTAGCCTAGCTTAACATAAAGACTGAGAAAAACAGCTGGTTAGGTGCTGGTATGTGTTTGTTTAGCTTGAGACCGAGCCAGCTAGCTGTTTCCACCTGATCCCAGTATTTATGCTAAGCTAAATGCTAAATATAAGATACAGTAGAACTTTATTAATTGTGAAGGAAATTCTTGCGCCAGAGTTTCATGAAAGATTACAATAAAAATATAAACGTAGAATTTGCCGATTAATTTCTTAAAATGTCAGAAAATAGTAAAAAAATCACACTTTCCTGAAAACTAAGCAGATGTTTTATACAACAAAGAACTATAAAGAGATTCAGGTTATCATCACATCTAAACAAAGGAAACATCTTTTACACATAATTCATTCTTAAGCGTCTTATGATGAATATTCATTATACGTCTCATATTTGTTTTTTTTTATTACCTTCTGATTCTTTTCTTCGTTGTTTTGTCTCAACAACAATAAAACAGTTTCCATGACGTCGTTGAGTGACTCATGAATAACATTCTGAAACGTTCCATCTGATCAGCTGTTTGTTGTTTTAGAGAAATGACAGAAAAGACAACAAACAGAGGTTTACTTTGAGGTACTTATACTCGTACTTATACTCGTACTTGTACTTGAGTATTTTCTGCTGACGGCTTTAGTTTCTTTACAGATTCATATTTTTGTGCTCAAAGAGTTTTTAAAAGCTGATGTTTAGTTATGAATTAAAGTCCAGCGGAGACGACAGTAAATAAAGACGAGAAGAGAAAGAAGAGTTTGTTTCTGCCGACAGGAATCCAGAGAAGAGAGGCGCCTTTGTTTTGCTCATCTTTTCTTTTTTTGTTTCCCCTCATGTGGCGAGTTGGCATGTGTCGTGTGTGTGTGTGTGTGTGTGTGTTAGATAACCATCAGTGTATTGTACGGTGTTGGTTCAGCCTGGGAACCTTTCTGCTATTTATAAAACTGAGGAGTTCTGCATTCCTCACTTTTACTCCGTTAACCTTATTTTGCTTTGGCCTATTCTGTGGTGTGTGTGTGTGTGTGTGTGTGTGTGTGTGTGCGCGTGTGTGTGTGTGTGTGTGTGTGTGTGCGTGCGCGCGTGTGTGTGTGTGTGTGTGTGTGTGTGTGTGCTTCATTTAAAAAATCTGTTTCTAATCTGATACAACACACACACACACTGACGCTCACATGTGCTCTCATAGTCGGTCAGTTCCTTTGTGTTGGCTGAGATCCTCACAGCTAAATGACTGGAAACCGGTAGTGGTCTAAAAATAACCCGGTACACAGCTAAGAATAGCCATGACGGGTGTGTGTGTGTGTGTGTGTGTGAGAGACTGTGGTTTGACTGTGTGTGTGTGTGTGTGTGTGTGTGTGTGTGTGTGTGTGTGTGTGGAGGAAAACAAGGAGAAGCAGCTTCTCATTGGTCTTATTTCACCACAGCCTCCTTCATCACCAGTCTGACCCGCTCAGTGTGTTCAGTGTGTGCCTCACCACAGAGGAGGAGATGTATCTTCATCATATCTCATTTAAAAAGAGAAGTTTAACCCTCAAACCTCATGCAGCTTCTCTCTCTGTGGTTTTGATTTTCACTCCAAAATAAAAGTCCTGCTCCTCTCTGGAAACAGAACCATGATGAGTAGAAGTAGAGAGAACTAGAACACGTCTTTAGTGCAGAACAGCAACGGGACGTATATCAACAGCTGCTTTGAGTGGGAGTCTGCACAGAGGAGCATCATCTCCTTTGTGGTGTGACACACACACACACACACACACACACACACACACACATCACATCTTCTAATGTGGAGGAAGAGGAGGAGGAGGAGACCACCCACGGAGAAAGAGACCAGTTTCAGGAAGTGAAACTTAAAAAGTAAATAACTAAATCTATGGAAAAGAAAAGCAGAGAGGGTGGAGGTGTAGATGGAGGGCTGATATTATGGCCTCCTCCTCAGCTGTCTCCCCCCCCCCCCGTCTGCCACCTGCCACCCCGACACACATTCCAGTGGTTCAGAGTAACTTAAGAATATGTACTCAAGTACTTCTCCTTCAGTAGTTTGGAAGTATTTAAGAGGAAACTTCCAGACTGCAGCGCTGCAGCGTGGACGCTCTGCGGCGCTGCTCCAGCACAGTTTCCTTTGAACTCGAGTATTTCATGAGGTTTGTGGCTGACCAGCGGAGGACAACATGTCGCTGAGCTGTTTCATGATTACTATTTAAATATGATTATCTTTAAAGTGTGTAGACGAGTTCTACCTCGTGTTGAGACCATCAGAGTATCAGACGTGTTTAAAACACGACTGCAGCTGAATACATATTTTAGGGTTTATCATTTTGATTATTAAACTTTTATCATGTTTTTATTTTCTTACATGTGACCTTCTTCTTGTTTCTGATGGCTTATTGTCTCATTTACTGCCGATTCTTTATTTAATGTGAAAAGCGGTTTAGCCAACAAATAAAGTTTTGTTTAAAGAGAGAATACTGGACATCAGGTCACACACGTGACTCGTCATGTTGATCAGTAAATAAAGTTCAACGTATGGACTCGACCATCAGTCAATGTTTAAAACAGAGAACTTGTTTAAAGGAATTATTGAAATAGTTATTTTCTTTCCTCGGCTACATTTAAGTTACAGACACCGGCTGTTCTTCTTATTTTATTGAAAAAGGAAGGAGTGTGTGTTTAGTAGTGAGTACAGTGTGTGTGTGTGTGTGTGTGTGTGTGTGTGTGTGTGTGTGTGTGTG